CTGAATGGATGGATGGTTGGTTGCTGAATGGATGGATGGTTGGTTGCTGAATGGATGGACGGACAGACGGACGGATGGATGGATGATTTAATCACCTGCAGCTGAAGTAAACCCCTTGTTCTGTTCATGTGTTTTTGTCAGCATTAGCAAAATATCTCATTAACCAGTGGATAGATTTTAATGAAACTCTCAGAAAGTAAAAACTGGATCATGATCCAGATCCAAAATAAAGTCTGATCTGAATACTCATACACATTAGAACCAAACAAAATAGCTAATTATCAAAATATAAAACCTAAATATACCAAATATTTCCTTCAAAACTATGGTATAAAGCATACAGGTATGAAAAATACACGTTCATGTGCTGAAAAGTGTCTGGCTCCCACTGGGTTAAAACACGAGAACATGCTTTAACCCACAAAAAAAAAAGAGAATTACACACATCTGCGAGCCATTAGGTCTAATCACATGGTGCAGCAGAAGCAGAATAAAAGAGACCAAATATTGGCCTGTAGTCAGGACTGAAACTACATGAAGAGCTCACAGCCACTCTCATCTTAATAAGAATAATCATAAAAAAATAAAAACCTTTCCAACAAAGCCTTATTGTCTGAGGGTCTCTGCAACTCACAGAGCAGCTCCATACTGAACCAAGCAGAACAATAGAGCCAGGCTTGTCAAACAATCCTTGTTCATTTTGATCCTCTTGTTACACACCTTCCTCTGTGTGCTGAGCAACAAAATGAATTAAAAGGAATTAGTCTGAGAGTCAGAACTAAAAATGATCCCAGAGGTGTCACAGACAAGATAAAATGAGAGGAGGTGAAAAAGATGTCTTCTTTGTTGGCACAGTATTTAACACGTGTATGCATGTCTAATTGCACTATTAGAGTGTTTAGAGGTGAAACTGTGCTTGGTCAGTGTTGCTGTGGTTTTTATTATTTTTGACAAAACTAGAAGCAGTCACTTGAGCATCGATGTTGAGAGTATAAATGTGTGCCTGCCCGTAAACATTAAAGCTTAAAAATGTCTAATTGAGGGAAACAAAACAAAAATTTAAATATCTGCTACTGGTGGTTTAATGCAGAGGTTCTCAAACTGCGGTCCCTGGACCCCCAGGGGACAGCGAGTTGTATCTTGGGGGTCCTCAAAAATCTACAATAAATTGTTCATTTGCTTTTTATTTGAAAAAAATGCATATAGAGAACAATACACTAGTAGAACAAACATACTAAAACAAACAAAAGATAATATTCCCATGACATTTAGGAGGTAAAATGACAGTAAACTACTTTTAAAACAGCCTGGAGTTTATAAGGGGGTCCCTGGAAATGTTTTCCCCATGTAGGGGGTCACCAGACCCAAAACACTTGAGAACCCCTGGTTTAATGAACATACCATAGATTTTTAGAAGTTCAGTGGCATGACTCTACTAGATCTTTGTTGTGTCATTAACATAGTAATGGGGCGCATCCCACCCCGTACCATGTGTTTGATCCCCAGCCCACCCTTAGCTGCCTTGCACTGAGCGAGTGTTTTTTGGAGTTTTTTTGAGCATATGATTCTGTGTTTCTGTGTAAACATAAGATCATAGCATCTTTTTTTAGCTCATCTTTCCTATTGTGTATATTCCAAACTGCAAAAGGTAGCGTGACTATGTTGCGAAAGACCTGGGCATCCGTTCTCCCCAATGTTTGTTATGTGTGTGTAATAAGAATGGGTGTTCTTAACTGCAAGTTCCTAGTCTGTGTATTCACTGGGAATGGCAATAAAACTGATTCTGATTCTGAAAAAGTCTTATTCAGGCAGCTGGTTGTAGTGTTGTGACAGATTTAAATGTGTTCATCTGTTTATGTATATTTATGAACCAGATGAATATGTGAATGTGTCTGTATTATTGATGTCCCATCTTTAAAACAACTAAACAGAAAACACAGCAGCTGCATCAAACGACGAGAAACAGATCCACAGAGCTGTCTTTATACATACCGGTAGGTCAATATGACAGTAGTGTTTCCACAGTCCCTGTCGTCAAAATTTGTCCATGTTCCTTTCAAAAAAAATTTTTTTTCCTTCTTTTAATAAAAAAAAGTACAGAATATAAAGACAATACTTAATTAAATTAAATTCCTTCGATGACATTGGCATCACCCAGCACATTCATGATACKCTGACTCAGATAAAAACTACTCTTCAACTCTTCCAAGAACACAACAAGGAGTCCAGTTCCACATTTTCCAAGTTTCTAACAGTCTGCCATCATGTGAAATGATTGATTCCAGGTAATTTTAGCAAGTACTGAATAACACATAAGTACACAGCAGTGGAGAATCATGAAGTATGGTACTGAATGCACAGGAACAAACCAGGGATACAAAGTCATCAGAACTCAAAGTCCTACTGCAGAACTCACTTACTGACTTAAGCCCTTCACCCTGTCCCAGGGTATGGGCTGCCAAATGTAGAACTCCGGAGGTTTCCATCTTGGGTCATATTTTCTAGTTGACTCCAGGTATGGCCCATCTTTTTGACACCTACCTCGAGGTCTCGTCACCAGGTGTTTCTTGGCACAACCTTTCTTTCGCTTTCCTTGGGAACTCCACCTAAGGGCTTGTCTGGTGAGGTTGGTTGGTGGTTTGCATAGTTTATTTATTTATTTAACCTTTATTTATCCAGGTAAACAGTTTGAGAACCACTTCTCATTTACCAACAGGACCTGGCATAGTGTGTCCTACCTAGCACCATCTTTTCTTCCTGATCTTTGTCTCTACTGGGATTTGGCAGGTTCTCTCCCATAAGCTGATGTTACTGATGGTGTCAGGCCAGGGAATATGGAGAATCCTTCTGAGACACCTACTCAGGAATGTTGAGGTTTTTCCAGTTGAGTTTGTACTTGTCCTCCAGGAATCAGTCCCGTACAGCAGTACTGACTTCCCATTGGAGTTGAACAGTTGGATCTTGGTGGTCAAGATCGGCATCTCTGAATGTCCAGAAGTTCTTAAGCTGGATGAAGGCAACTCTCGCTTTGACAATCCTTGCCTTGACATCAGCAATGGTTCCATCTTGCTGGTTAATGATGCTGCCCAGGTAGGTGAAAGACTGTACTTCCTCCAGAGGACTTTCATTTAGGGTGATTGTGTTGATGCAATTGGTGTTGATTTTAAGGATTCTGATTTAAGTCTAACCTGTGCTGATGCGGCTGCCAATACATTGGCCTTTTCTTGCATTTGCTGTTGGCTATGGGAGAGAGGTGTAAGGTCATCAGCAAAGTCTAAATCATCAAGTTGCCTCCACAGGGGTCCACTGAATTCCATTCCTGCATTTCACTGGTGAAAGTCTTCATGATCCAGTCTATCCAGTGACGATGAGAAAGAGGATCAGGGACAACAAGCATCCTTGCAGAGATCCGGTACTCATTTACCAGAGTTTCTAAATATTTTAGTAACTCAAGATGGACCAAGTCCATCTTAGAGAGGCAGTTGCTCACTTGTTTAAGCCTGTTAAAACTGCAAACCATCTATTCTGACTAAATAATACAGGCTTACACAGGTATTGAAAAAATACTCAAACTTTTTTTCTGTGTAATTGTTCATTGTTAAGGACAATTAAAAAGGAACAAACTTAGTTGGGCATGAAGTGAATTTTCAGGAATTCAATGAATGCAGTTTCTGGTTTTAATTTCTGATTATTTTTGTGTTGTTGCAAACAGCTGTCAAACATATAGAAAGCGTACGTTTGTGGCCATACCTGGTGTAAACTCCATCCAGTATGCCCACACAGGCCTCAGAGGCTGGGACGAATGAACCCATCTGAGCCATAATACATATGAGGGCAACCTGGCGGATGTAGGAGCTCTTGCCCCCCATATTTGGCCCGGTGATTATCATAGTTCTCCAGCCTTCACCCTAAACAAACAGAAACGAGAGGCGATAACTCTGAACTGTGACTAGAATGAGATATTTGCATGTTTGCATGCACAGCTGAGGAGGTGGGTGGACTGAAAGCTTGGCTTCTCTTCCTACTGGCTTGTGCTTCTGTTGCAAGATTAACCTACACCCACTCAAGCGCTGAGCGAGGAAGTGAGTGTGTGTGTGTGAGTATGTGCCACGCATGTCTCTGTGTGGTCATACGTGTGTCTCAATGAGTTAGAGAGTAGGCAAATGTCTGACAGTTTCTCTGTCTCAAAGCTCTCCAACTACATGTGTGTCCAGGTGTGTGTGTACCTGTAATTTAGTGTCGTTGGGCACATACTGATTGTGCTCTCCCATCAATAAATCTATTGCAGGATGTCTGCCGTTTGTTATCATAATCTGCTGCTTATTTTCACACACCTTTGGCCTGAACACAGAGAACAACTGGTTAGATTTACACACACATATCAGGACACATTCAATTTGTTTATTTCAGACCAAAAATGAATATTTAGGATTCTAAGCAGTAAAATAAATATCAGCAAAATTACAGTTTTATGTCTCATTCATGCATCAA